AACTATTCGTAAGTTATTACATAGTTTCATATTCTTGCAATACTAATTTTAGCAGTTTTAAAGGGCTTAGCTAAGATACTAGTATTCTGTTTAAGAAATGTGCAGGAAAGGCACTAAGATATACCGTACAGATTATCAAAATAAGAAATATAAATGGTTTTCTCTTTCTCACATAAACTAAAGATTCAGCAACCCTTCTGGAATTTAGCAACATCTCATTACCATCAGTAGCTAGCATCTCTAACCCTTCGGATACGTGAAGATATAATGCACATAATTTAAAAAAGTCACCTGAATTCTTAGCATTTCAACAGTTTTCTAATAAAATACACCAATAAAAGTTAGTTTAGACTTTTTTTTTTTTAATGTTACAGCTAACTCTTACTACCTCTAATTAAAATTATGAAGGGAAAAGAAAAAAAACAGAGGTTGGCCTAATAAGTGTCTCAGGAAAGGATAAATGAGCACACCTTGAGATAATGCTTAACTAATCACAGTGCAAGAGCTCTGCCATTAGTGGTTGAACTGCTAATTAGACAAAGAGATAAAACTGTCATTGCACACTAAAAAGATAAGGGGGAAGAAAAAGCAATATTTACAATTCTGTTGTGAGGAAAATAATCTTAAGCATAACTCCATGTAAAAATTCAGCCCTATATACTAGAACAATAACAAAAGCACTCAGTATTCATTAAGTTAGTCCAGTCAAGTAAATATAATTGAGAGATGAGCATTCCCTTTTCCAGAATGTATCATGAAAATGAACAGAGTGAAGAGAGGGCAGACATTCTGCATATTCATTCCCTTATGCTGCACCAGGAACATTAAAAGCATATGAATTATTTTGTCAAACTGCCTAGAAAGTTCAGAGCTGGTTTTAGAGTAAGCATTTATCTCAAACTTAGTATGAGCTATGCTACTTTATTCTCTTTAAACCTTAATTAGTTTACTTAAGATGTAAGTTACATTATCAAATGTAATTAATCATTTTTCGGAGTGGGTTTTTTTTGTTTTGTTTTTTGAACTTTACATGAACTTACATTCTGTTGCTTGGTATAATCTTGTGCCCATCTCTAAACCATGTCACTTGTGGTCTCGGATGGCTGAATATGTGCAGGAAGTTTAAAACTGCAGCTTCTCCTTCAGTCACTGTTTTTCTCTGGTTTGCGTCCACAAAATTTCCCATATCTGCAAAGCAAAATTATACTAAGCGTCATTGAAAGCACTTGTGTATGTCCCTCTCTTCTCAAGGGTCAGAGAAAGAAATAACTGTTCTTTACAATAGTCATTATCATTCCTATAATTAGGCAATATGACACAGCAGATGACAAAACAGTGCTGATGAGCACAGATTTGGGTGAGCAGTAAGGCAGAAGGCAAAGTGCTGCTAGTGCACACAAGAAGTGCATCAATCAGCAACACTGCACGGCCCAAGTGTTCCTATGCAATAGCAGAGTCTGTTTGAATATGACATTTTCATAGAGATTTTTTAAAAAAAATATCTCCTTGTACTATACAAAAGAGCTTATTGTGTGGTACAAAGAAATGCAAATGGTTTACACTTTTTAATCTTTTTTTTCCTTCTATCTATAAGTGCACACATAGACAAAACAGCTGCATGACTTATAGTTGAATTTAAAGCCTGATCTATGTGAATAGCTCATGGAGGCCAAATGGATATTAAAATAACAAGGCTATGGTTGTGCTGGTAGCTATTAGTTCTTCTGTGATGCAAATAGTGCACCTGTATCTTTGACATTTACAAAGACATTTGTAGCATTAAACAGCAGGTTTTAATAAGGATTTTAATGGAAGAAAGCTCTACAATAGCAGAACCTCTGCCTCTGGAGAAGTTTTCATTTCATAGACAAGTTCATGCATCTGCGGAGTCTTTGTTAAAAAAATTCAGTAAATGCTTTTCTCTTGTTTTTCTTCTGTCTTTTGTATCTTATTTCTATCCATTAAAATAAACAGGCCTGTAGGCTCCTACTTATTCTCTCTTGAAAGAATTTGTATGTATTTTATTTCACTTTAAACTGAGAAGCTGACACATAGACAGCTCTTCTGGTTTCCTTCACTGAATTGCCATTTTTTTTTTTTAGGGCCACGGGGTTCTTTTCAAGCTCTCCAGAGCAGAAAGGGATGCAAGGGAGATAGAAGCATACAAGACTACTATCAGCCTGTGGATGGAAGGAGATGAGAAGAGACAGAACAAGAGCAGGAATTAAAAACACATGGTATTTTAAAGAGGGCTTTAATCATCTTTGTGATTTCCAAGTTATTTATTCAGACATAATCAGCACTGTACTTCCTTTGTTGCTCCATATTTCTCACAACTGTAATCAGATCATCTACTTGAAAAGAAGTTTCAAACCGTGTAGGTGGATCTAATTAACTTCACTGTCATATGATTACTCTAGTCTTCACAATCCAAGAAGTTTTAAGTCCATTCTGTAATTAAGATTTACTCAGCAGTTTTCTTATAAATATGTGTTCCCATTCAGTTAAGTAATACTTTAGTATGAAGATTTTTTAAATTATTTAACAAGTTTGCTGCTGCTTCAGAGATCTAGGACACAGAAAATACCTCAGATCTTTCTCAATGCATATTTACTTGCGAATTTGGAATTTCACTACCTATCTTCAGTTTTTTCAAGTTGATTAGGAAGTAATTTCTATCTAGTGGTGCATAAAGTTCATTTCCTGTGAACACCTCTTAAGTTAAGCACCAAATGAACAGTTGCTGATAACTCTTGAAGCTCCATCAGGACAACCTAAGCCCTTGGAATTCTGTTTCCTGGTATATTTAAGAGTGATGCAGAAGTAAGTTATAGTAAAATATGAAGTATTTCATTATGCCCATATGGCTTAAAAACAATTAATTTAGATCAAAGCTTGTTAAAAGACAGAAAATCATAGTAGCAATAGTTACTTCTGGACAGAAACAAAGAAAAGGAAAAAAAAAAGAAGTTTATTCTACTTTCAAGAGCAACCAAACACACAAAAGGAAAGCCCTGAAGAAAAAGTGCTTCACCGCAAAACTCTTCCTCGCTCAGAAGGGAAAAAGGCTGTGTCTTCAGGAGGCAAAATTCCCTAGCAGAGGTATCAAAGTAAAGCATTCCGATGCCTCCCTCCTATCCAATTCCCACAAGTATTTCCCCAGAAATTGTGCCCTGTTCTGTGCCAATACAGCCGTGCGTATAGTGCCCCAGGGAACCATACTTTTTTCTTTTCTACTTTAAGCTCCGCAAATTAACTGTTGTTTTTCCAGACATGCTGGATGAGTTTCCCAGGCCACAGCTGCACAGACACGTTCCTGCTCAGCCTGCAGGCACAGCATGGCACGTTGTAGTGCACAAGTGGGAATGCTTAGCAAGGAGAAGGGAGAACTGAGTGTATGGCACTCCGGGGCTGCTGCCAAAGCATTTGGCCCCTGAAACCACACCTGAAGATGCAACTCCAGAAGGATCCAAGTTGATCTAATGGTTCCCTACTGTAGAAAGACGATCATCTCCCCTGCCCCTGCTTCCTCTGGTCCTGTCCTTCCTGCTCCATTTTCCCCTTCCAACCTGGTTGGAAATCCTGTCGTGCTTCCCAGCTGTGCTCCTTGGCACCAGCTTTTACTTGGTCTCCTGGACTTCGCATAATTCATTAAAACAGAGAAAAATGTTCACAGTGGTCTAAGGAAATCGGAGCAAGGACCAGATGAGCAGGAGGAGCTCACAGTAAGGACGCAACAGCCGGGGGAAGGCAGGAGTTAGAGCAGGAAAGTCCCTTCCCAGCAGCTGCAAATTCTTAGGCTGGCTCCCAGCATCCTTAAAACAGCATCACTGAGAGATCAAACATTTAATTATTGGTAGTTATATAATTTAGTGTAATACAGGAGGCTGGTGAACATGAGACCAAAACGGTTATAGTAGCATCGGTAACTGTTCTTAAAGCACAGAAAATTCCAAGTAACTTCCCTCATGACAACTATTCATTTTCATCTGTTCCCTGGAACTGGCTTTCTGGTAAATAATTCAATTTCTTTCCTAAGTTCCACATATGAAGTTATATTTGCTACTACTGGTTTAACAGATATTGACCCTAAGAAAAAGCAATCTGATCCAAGTACTACTTATCATTGCTAACATGTAATACACAAATCTCCTTTTTAAAATCTATTTACTTCAGAGAAACAATAAAGCCTAATTTTCTGATGATTTCCAAGTTACCTGGATTATATTTTCTATGCATTAACATAAAAAGTGAAAATAAGCCTACATAACCATTTACTAGGTAATGTAATTTAGCAGCAGCTTTTAACATTTCCAAATCAAAGTCAGATACCAAATTAGAGGCTAACTCCAAAGAACCCTCCAAAACTTTCAGACAAAAACTAGCAAATATGATTGCTATGTTGGTTTTGAAACATGAAAGATCAGTTAGCTCATGAGGTAACTCATATTTGAACATACATGCCACTTGAACTTCAGATCTTCTCTGCAGCAACGCCCCCATCCTGTTCCGTACAACACACTGATAAAAACCAGCATCGGACCTCTGCAAAGCTGGGATGATGTACCTAAAAAGACACGAATACAGAATTACAGAACGCATACAAGCAAATCAGTGCTATTTAATACAGCATTTCTAGTTTTTCCTCTAATAATTTATGCATTATCTCAAATATAAAAATGCTTGGATTGCACAAAACACCCTTCCAGGTTAAAATCTACACTTCATAAACATTGATCAGTCTCCCTAGTTTGCCTTGACAGACTTAAGTGTTTTCTTTCATTTTAGCTACCTCATTTATAAAGCAAAGATGCCCAGCATTTCGCTCAGAGGTCACGTAACAAAACTACAATTTCAACGTAGGCAAAAAGAATCTTGCAAGAAACATCAAAATTTTCCAATGGAAAAGATGCTTACTACACTGCACGACTAGCTCAGCTCAGACGAGCACTGCAGAAGACAGTGTGCTGTACATTATATTTGTTCTGCCCTTCAGGATACTTAAAAAGTCACTTAGTCCACTAATGTTCCCCTTCCTCATTCAAGTATATCTGATAGCCCCAACATGAAAATGAGCTGATAGGCACAGTTTTAATGTGAATAAAACAGAGGACTAATATAGATAATCCTGCATTAAACAAACATTAATCAAAGAGCAAATTCCCCCAGTCACCTTCAGAGATCTTAGAGCAGGATTAATGAAAGTCTTTACGAAAATGATAAATACCGCTGAATTTTAATCTTCAAAATTTAATTCTAGTAAAGAAGGCTTCTCATCTCATACTTGCACATACTATACACACCCACATATAGAGCTAATGTGTGAACAGAATCAGACAGTATGAAAATGAGAGAGGTGGGAGAAATCTAGTTTAACTGATAAATGAGGACTATAATCACTGCGTTATAATTACTATCAAATATACAAAAGAAAAGAGTTCAGACAACCCAAAATCAGTGAATTAAAACAGAACCATCAAAAAAATTCAGCAGTCCTGAGCAATTCCCAGAAAGCCCTGGCTTCCCAAGTAGGCAACTTCACAAGTAGGCCTGTCTATCCAGATGCATCTTAAAGTCTACTGCTCTCCTGGTAAGTTTTCTGCAGGGATTATGAGATTTTCTAGCTAGGGAGATGGGGCAGACTCTAACCAGTGCCACCCTCCCCTTCTTACTAAACTAAGGGGAAGATTTAGAGGATTCAGCAGTAGCACTACTCTACTTGTGGGAGTAAATCAGGGGGATCAGCACCCAAATACTCGCTGATCCATGAATCTTGGACTTAGGCGGGCTGCTTGCTGCACGTGCCAGAGGAGACACAGTAGGGAGCTAAGGGAATATACAGGGCACAGGATATCAGATGATGGAGAACTAGACTTCCTCAGTTCCTTCCAGGATTCCTTCTTTCTTTGCTAAGTAGCTGACTACTCCAAATCTTCACTATGTGTGTATATATAATCATCAAAAGATATTTACGATTCATTTTTATAACTAACTTTACTAAACAATTTATAGCTTTCTAAGGCTTTCTCCCTCCCCTAACAATTCAGCATCATATTTGGCCAATATTTGTTTTTCTGCTTGTCTATTAAATGGAGGCAAAATCAAAGGCCTTTCTTTGTCATTCTTCTGTACCACAGGAAACATAAGTTTTTGCCAACTTTTGTGAGCCACAGCTTGCTGGATTCTTCTGAAAAGTCTGGTCAAGTATGTTCTGCAAAAGCTTCTGAAGAGAGTTCACTTGTTTCTATTTAGAAATAGCTTCTCTTTTACTGATGGTTTTTCTTTTTTTTTTTAGAAAATACTTTTCTATTTACCTCACAGTGAAATACTGCTTTGTGTGTGCTAAGCTTTCATGATTCAAGTTATTTTCTGATAAGTAAAAGGGAGAAAAAAATAGTTCTTTCGAAATTCAAAGGGTTCTCTTCCCCAGACTAGATTTATATCAAAGGTTAAGGCAGGGTTTTGTTTGTTTGTTTACCACAACAAGGCATCATTTTTGCTTTAATTTTGTCTGCGCTCTAACTTCCGAGAGAAGAAGTCACCGTTGTCACGGTGCCAGAGGCCACCGATGGCTTCCGGGGATTTGCGCAAGTAACACGGAGCCAGTTAATTTGTTTTGAGCAGCACAACCAACTAGAAATACAGTTTCCATAGAAAGATATAAAGTGACAGGTATGAAATAAAGCTGGTATGAAAGACAGGTAGGAAAGAAGGCCCTGGAAACCCAAGGAGGGCTCTGCCCCAGGCACAGCGAGAGCGAGAACTGAAGGACAAACCGCTCCCGAGCATATAGGATATGAGTTTTCAGAAGTCCCACTTGTGAAGAAAGAAATGCATTAAAGCTAAACCTGTTTTCCTTGCTAGTAACGTAGCTTATGATATATTCAAAGATTTTTTTAAAAAATGGTATTAAGCATCAAGTGATGTAAACACCAAGTGCTGTAGATATTGCTTTCAAAAGACAAATACCAAAAAAAGTCACTGTCTTAACTTCAAACACTTAATTTGTACGAACTAGCCAAAAGTGCTCTTCAATGAGCGCTATTGATCTGGTTTTCATTCCAATAGATTTCTCAGACCACAGCCTATTTAACGTTCCTTCATAAATACTAACACCCACTAGCGTATGCACAGTCACTACCAAAGACAGGCTGTGCATTCCTGATCAGCACCTTGGTACAAAGACGAGCTGCTCACCCAGGGTCAAGCCATGGTATGCAAAGCCTCCAATTTGGTCTTTACTCCTTTAGTGTGTGATAATAAGCTTTGAGTATTTTCATCCTGTTACAATATAGACATTAACTAAGACACAACAACTAATATCAATTACTGAAAATATTTGATGAGTCAACCTCCAGCTCAAATCACTTCTATAAGAAAGATTCATGCATTTAAACAGAACATTTACCTTCCTAAAAGGACCACAGAACAAACCATCACAGGGTCAAAGTTTAAATTTTGCAAATTGAGTTTTTGTGTTTAAGCATTCCCTTTCTTGCTTTCATTCATCCTAATGCACCTATGTCACTTAATCCTTTTTAGAAGGCTACATGGCTGCTAGAACAGCAAAGCTTAAAACTTCCCTACAGGAATCAAAATCCTCTGTGGCTTTTCTCAGACCGTAGCAAGGAATTACATTAATAACAAGGCTGCAAAATTTAAATTAATATTTTCTACTAGTATTATTGTAATTATTATAAGAAGATAGGAAAATATTAGCTTAAGTGCCTCTGTAGCAATGTGTTTAATTAGAAATGGAAACAAGGGGAAAATAAAACATGCAAAATGAATAAGTGTGCCTTGCATCATGACCTGAAACTCACTAGAGTAAATGAACTTCATTGATAAGAAACAAGGTCAGTGTGTGCCCAGATCCGCAGACATGCATGCAGACAGCTTGGGAAAGACATTCCAGCACCCTGATCCCAACTCATTTTGCAACACACAGTTAAATTATAATTTTGGGTCTTGGTGGGTTTAAGGATGTGCACATATCTAATAAATACCATGGCATTCTGTCCTAAGTTTAAAAATGTCATACAGTCTCACTCAGATTTCGTTCAGTGTCCCAAAGTTTAAGCCTCTCAAGTCCAGCACACCTAAAAACTCGAGTTAGCTTTTTATTAATATTCCATGTTCTTGTCTTACCCAAGGTTGTTTTCACTTACTCTCTCAGCATTTATATGGATAACAGCTGTTGCCAGCTGTCTTCCAAAAAAATTCCAGCAGCATTAACTCCAAGTCATGCTCAAACCCTTTGTGATTAATTGTGCTATTAGAGATTTTTTTTTCCCTAGAAATACTCACAAATCTCTTCTATAAACTAAACATTACTGCATGATATATGTAGTGCTCAAGCTATCAGCATATTTAAAGGTCTGATAACAAAAACAGCTAATAAAAGAAACCAAGTTATTCAGTACATCTTCTGTTATTCAACAGTCTCACCTAAACCAAAGGTCTTGAATATTCAGAAAAGTGCAGATAAAACTACATGTTTCTTTGTCTCTGAATACATTTGTCTCTGAACACATTCATGCAGTATGTGACCTGAGAGGGTTTTTAAAACACCTGGTATTTAAAGGACTATTTCTACTCCTCTAGAAATGTAAATAAATACGGACAATAGTGCTAATGTTAAATTACCATTTCGAAATCTTTGAGGAAATCAATTATGGATGACCTTGTTAGACCGCATTGTCTATACAAAAAAGCATTTTGGTAGAATTAGTACTGTAATACTTCGGTCGTTAATGGTGATAGCAACCCTTGGAAGTATCTGTTCTCTCAAAGAGAAAAATCTCAGGAAGGCCTAATGTCTAGTAGAGCCTTTAGATTTGCTCTTGATTTTAAACCGGATGTGCTTGGATACAATGCATATCATTACCTACAAATTTACAAATTTACCTATCCACCTATACTAAAACATCTATCTACAAGGATGAAGCACAATTTTTCACTGCCTTAGGCGATGCAGTTATTACCAAGATGTACTATTTACCCTTGCTCACTAAGGATAGAAGTGTTTTGCAAAGGGTCTACCACATACACACACCCCTTAACTTCTGCATTCACCAAGAGATTTCAACAAAACTTGAGAAGTGCAGAATTTGCATAGATATTAAATTTCTATATGGTTTATGGAAATTGGCAACTGCATAGGGGAAACCCAGTTAAGGCTCCCACTAAGGAGGCAGATGAAATTTGGTCATTCAGTGCTTGTACATTTGGCCATCTGGTACCGATCAGCAAAAACCTAACTCTTGATTAGCACATTTTTCGCTTGCTGATGGGATGGTCTTGAGGAACACAGAGGGGGTGAATGAGGCCCTGGGAACAAACTACACAGACCTACAGAACAGTTTGTTAAACTGTAAGATTAATTTTTATGCTCCCAGATGTGAAACCCATTCTTTCATTTCTACCTCTACCTAGTAAAAAGAAAACTTCCATTGAGGATAATTCTCTGTAAGGAAAAGCAGCAAGTCAGACAAAATATTTATCTAATGTTTGCTCTGCTTTCAAGGCACTACAGTGGTGGAGAACCGAGGTACTAAGAATAGCAGACAAATATATATTAAAGTGACAGAAACTCCCTTCTCTCTTCAATCAGAACAGGAAAAACCTTGGTAAGTATGATTGATTAATGAATAAAATAAATCAAATCTTCCCATAAGAAAAAGGATTGATGTTACTCTGAAGTTTCTGTGTTACAACCTCTGTTTTGAAATCTTAAAAACAAGTTTTTGCAAAGGAGATTCTCCCAGATGTTCTCCATTTACTATTAACCTCCAAAATAAAAAACAGTCAATGCATCAGTGTCTAAAAAAGGTTAAGTATTATCACTCCTTTTTCAATTATACTTAAAGGCAGCTATAATACAGTTTGTATTTACTTATACTCAGTGGAATAGTTGGTTATTTCGCTGTCGTTGCGTAGCCACTTAAATTCCAAGGGCCAGCTGCCTTCAGCGAGGCATGTCAGCACAAGGCGATTTCCTTCCAAGTGTATCTGGGGCAAGCCTGGTTCAGTCTTGAAGTACGGAGCAACATCATCTGAAACAGAGAAAATCGTTTTAAAAGTTATTTAAATGAGCATTAGTAAATTTCATGCCCATGATATTTAGCTCATTTCTTAAAATGGCCAATGTAAAACAAGGACAGCATGTCCTAGCTCCTAAGGTTACCACTGCTATATTTAGAACTAAGTTTTGTCTTCAGAAACGGAATTCAGAAATAATAATAATAAAAAAAACTTGAAAGCCTCGGGCCCTAATGCTTATTTGGAAGAAAAAAGAAATGGCCTCTCTGATATCTTTTTCCCCCTTCTCCTTTCACAAGGATTAAATTCACTCAAAAAAAATTAAATAAAGCAGCAGAGTAATCTTGGATAGAAATGATTATCACAGCAGGAAAAGTCTCTGGGCAAATGAAAAATGTTGATAGAAAAAATAGTTTAGAAAAAACACCTCACAAAAAAAAAATCACAAGATGTATATGTTTTTTTCCATATTATTGCAAATCAAAATGTATTAAATAATATTACCTGCAACCAATTACAGATTTTTAATAGAGGTATTTTAAACAAGGGTCATGTATGACCTCAAACTCTTACTCTCCTGGCAAATCGCAAATACTTAGAATTCTCCAAGTACCAAAATTACAGGGCGAGGCTGTGAATACAGCCATAAGGGACGTGCCTGTTTCCATCAGGGAAAAAAATCCCCCCAGAATTATGAATCATCCCGTGCCCAGTCATACTCACACTGACATCAACCGGAAAGGGATTTGGCCAGTAGCAAGCAAATGACCCACTCTAATTACTTAGAAAGCAGCCACCAAAGTTTTGTTAGCCAGAAAGATAGTTTCAAATGTTGTTTGAAATAAGTCAGTAAGAAATCAAGTCATTTGGAATAACAAGTCATACGTAAGGGGAAAGGACCAATTTGACCAGCTATGGTCACAGAAAACTAGAAGACGGACTAAGCTTAAGATCACAAAAGGGAAGATATGAATAAAAACACGTGAAAGGTGAGAGCAGGGCCACTAAAAGGAAATAAAAATTCCAGAGTTATGAGGGTGTCGTGGAGAATTAAACAAAGCAGAGATCACAGTATCTCTTGTGCTTGATACCATCATGGGCAATTGCCAGGCTAAGCAGCTCACACATGTCTGTCAAGAAGTACATACACAGCAGGAAACACTTGGCTATTTAGTCATTCATGTGCTATGTAATCCTGAAGTATCTTGTGTAACACTGGAGTTTCCCCACCGCTCAGGAGCCCTGGCTTCTGGGAAGGGTCATCTCGAGGTGATTCACATGTGTAAGAAGGTTCGAGAAGGATCTGCAACCCCAGAGCGTGCTTAGAAACCCAAAGCAAAAGATAAGATTGGAACTGAGCTCCCTGAATTTTATAACCTAGTCTAAATGTGTGATTTACTTCTTAATACATTTGCAGTAACTGTACTTAACTGTAACATACAGAGGTTTTTCTGTAATAGTTATTGACATATTGACATCACCAAGTAAAATATAGAAAAATAATAATTAATAAAATACTGTAATAGACTGTACATAATCATTCTGTTTGTAGGGTCTGATTTCATTTTCCTGTATGAAAATGGGATGTTTCAACTTGTCAGAATGACAACTTGGTATTACATATTGCTGCAAATAAAATTTTACATACCCTCTACGCAGAGGCATTTGGTGCTGGTAATCTATTTCATAACCACAAACAATAATTAAAAACAAAGAAGGAAAACAAACCCAACAAGGCATGGCAACAGCTTACAAATCATTCGCCCCATCCCGGGTGCAGCACCAGCGGCGTTTATTGAGCCATCATAATCAGCAGCATCCATCAGGCTGGAGCCCAGGCAAGCGCAGAATCAAAATCTCAGTGTGAAGGCAGCAATCAGCTGAGTGGGACATTTTATTACCGCACTCTGCTTCTCAGACAGCTGAATTTCCTAGGGCAACTAACCTTTCTGCTAAATTGCTAATCTTCCGTTCAAAACTTGTTTTAGATTAAGCTCAGGTATTTTTATACTTGTTATTGGAAGATTTTCAGCTATCTTTTACATTTTATGAGGAAATGACCTCACTCTCTATTTAAGGCTGTCTGAGCGTCCTGAATCCAAATCGCACGCCATAATCTTTACGGAGCGGATAGTCAGAAGACTCAGAGCAAGGAGATGGTGGTTTCCCAGTGTCCCGGGTCCCTCTGCGGCCTGGGACTGAGGATATCAACTTGTTGCTCACCCCTTGCTGCGGGAGCAGGCGGCCGCGTGGCCACGTGTCACCAAGCCGGGTAGCAGCTGCGCTCGAGCTCCCTGCGGTCAAGGAGTCGCGGGGTGGCTGTCACCAAACCGCCTGCTGCATCTCCAGGATCTCAGAGAACTACAGATTTGTGTTTCTTGCTTGGAGAAAAATAATTAGGAAGATTTATATCCCGTTTGATCCACAAGTGAGGCAGAGCATCGGCTGCACATACATTTAATGTCTTGTACCGATAAATTGTCTCCCTTCTTAGCGTTTAACTTTAGAAAGTTATAACAACTTCTGCAGGAAAAAGACACAACCTCTTAAAGCAAGAAATATAAGCTATTTTACATAAAATTTGACTGTAATTCACCTAACAAAATAAATCAAAACCAAATTTGCTTCCATTGTAACTTACAGCATTTTGAACGTTTTATTTTTCAGAGTGTTCAGTGGTTGCTACAGATCTAGAGAAACAGAAACAGCTCCAAAAGGGCAGGTATTCATGGGCTAGCCAGAGATACAGTGGAGAAGCACACACTGTATTACATATGTGAGATGATACTCCACAAAATGTTGTTGTTTTTTGTTTTAAATAACTGAATATTCTGAGGAGCTTTCTGTCAGTTCTCATGTTCTCTTAAGAAATCAGCCAAGACTCTAAAACTTTATAAACTAAAAATTTAAGCAAGGGTCAGTGTTAGCACGACACAGTTATTTTTTAAACAGATGTTCTCAAAATTGTATACAGAATATAACCATTATTGCAACATTGCCAGGCATGTTTTAATCTCTAAAGAGGGAAGGAAATGTTAAAACCTTCCATAGGCTTCACGGGTATTTCTGGAACTCTCGTAAACGAGTTAGGAAACGATCTTTATAGTTGTACCCTGCAAGGTTCCTTAAAGGGGTCAAACCTCCCTGCAGACCTGAGCAGTCAGCGACAGGGAGCTCTGCTGAGACTATTTAGGAGAACAGGTTTCAGGAGTCTGTCTCCAGAGCAAGGATAAGGCAAAAGGATCAGCACTGGTCTCCCAAGAACAATATCCTTTACCTGCTAGTACAAAGCAGCTCAAAAATGAGCTCCATAAACTGCTCTTTTCTCAAGACAGCTGCTTGCGGTTGAGTGAGATTTCTCTGCGAGGAAACAGGTATCTGCATTAGAAATCTGTACCCAAGCAATATGTTGACCCTCTTTTTCAGTGACTTATTCAGGGCTCAAACAGCACCGCAACCACCATGATTTCACTCACAATTACCCGCTTACCCTTTTAATGCATCTCTTTACAAGAAGAAATTATTTGGAAGAGAAAGAGGTTGCTGCCTGTGAGGCTCCCGTTGCCCCTTTCCACCTCCAGTGGATGGGACCTGCAGCGCTCACCCCAGACTCTCCATCAGGCCAGTGTTGTACGAAACCGGCTCTCAAAATGCAATGCAGACCTGTTGGAAGCTCAAGCTTAACACATGTACAAGAAGATTTTGGTAAAGAATAGAAAATGCTTTATAAATTAACCTGTTTCTCTGGAAGATTTACTCAACCCCTTGGAGTTTATCTTTTATTCTTGGTATTTCCCAACCGGCATCTACTGTCCATTTATCAGATTGAATTACATAATCAGAGCTTACTGAATATTCATTGAAAACAAAACAAAAAAGATAATGTTCAGAAATTTTTTTAAAAAGTGAAAATTACGTATTCATAAAAGAGATAGCAGAAAAGCTTTGATGACTTTGGCATCTCTACAGTATCCTACTGCTCATGCCTCAGACACAGGATTTAAATTTAATGGAAGCAGAATTTTCATCTGCATCACCAGGGATTCATTTGGTTGATCCAGAGCCCTTCAGGGAAACAGGGAGATTGGCAGGAAAAGAACAGCCATCTCAGGAGGAAAACTGTAGAAAAGGAGAACTGGTTTGCAGCAGGGGGAGCAGATACAAGTGGGTCATCCAACACGTGAGATACTCGGACTTTGCTAGTTAAATATAGGAAAGTCTCCCTGAGGGCTGAGATCTAAGGCCACCTAAGGCCAATCAAGGCTTTAAAAGTCAGGAGAACCCCTCAACTTTTATGTCCTTGAACAACGGAGGAAAAAAAAGGAAACCTCTTCCATTCCTATAAACAGGAGCAATAAGATGCTGTGTTACAAGACTCTTGGCCGCTACAGAAGAAGCGCCTCTCAGTGCTCAGTACAATATTGCTTTCTTCTGAACACTCTTTGCTTTCCAGCTAGGCTGATTTAAAAAAAGGAGATTTTGTCTGAGGTCCCCCTGTTACAAACGCAGAGTGTCTGCAAGTTTTCATCATGTCTGCATGCCAAAGGCTCTGACATCTGACTGGTATCCTTAAGAGGATGGCAGTAGATTTGTTTCTATGGAAATCCTAAAAAAAAACACCACAGGAGATAAGATGCCAAAATTATCTTAAAGAATTACCAAGTAACCATGTCTCATGTCTGGATTCTTGCTTCATAACCTGTCTGCCTCCTGTTTGTACAGCACTGAACTACATGACTTAGATTATACTGCCAGGGTAGCCTGTTTTCTCTCCTTGGTACATACAGAGTTTAAATAGATTTTATCTCAAAATATAGTTCCAGGGCCTAATTCAGCATTGCACATACACTTTTCCTTAGACTGATGCCAACATTTTTACATAAGAACAGTGCTTCATGCAGCTCATCTTTTTTGAGCTTCACCCCAGCCCTAGCAAATAGGCCCAGCACAGAACAGCAGAGAGCTCTCCTACACTTTACTCTCCCTGAAAGTCTTGTTTGGGCTCAAATTTGCA